CACGTATACCAAATTTTGTATTACAGTACCCGAATGGATGACGAAGGCATGTGACTAGTGCAAACATGATAATGATGAGATGCGTGTCATGTAACAACATGACTGCACGCTACGCTCATGATGCGCTGGTGGCCGTTTCGCTAGCTTCACTTATACCAAATTTGGCATTACGGGACTTGAATGGATGACGAAGGTATGATACTTGTGCAAACAAGATAATTATGAGATGCGTGTCATGTGAGAACGTGACTGCATGCCACAGTCAAGGCGCCAATACAATTCTACGTGATGCGGTGCGCGCGCTCACCGGCGTTCATTTCGTCGCGTAACGCCGGCGTTGCCACGCCAGGCGCCGGTCCTGCCTTATAATCGGAGGTGCCCGCCGCGCTGCATTGCTTTGCCGCATGCACGTTTCAGCGCGTCCGGCGTTCCACCATCAAGAAAGAGGGAGACGCAGTGTTGTCTGGGTAACGCATTGGCGCAAAATGCAGCATGTCGCATTTCGCGCCGGTCGCCATCGGGCCACGCCGACAGACGCTGGTCCCGCCTGACGTCAGACTATAGAGTACATGCTCGCGTTTTGTTAACGTAGCATCGCTGTGCCCAGCGTGCTCACGCGTCAACGCTACATTGAAGTATATTGGGCCCTTCATGATTCGCTCGCGGCCGTTTTGCAAGCTGCACATATACCGAATTTGATGTTGCGTGATGTCAATGGATGACGAGATATGTGACTGGTGCAAACATAATATTCCTGACATGCATGTCATGCAAGAACAAGACAACATAACACACTCATAGTGTGCTCACGGTAGTTTTGCTAGCTCCACATATACTAAATTGGGTATCACGTGACGTGAATAGATGACAAAGGTAAACGACACATCCAAAAATAATAATGATCACACGCAATCATGCACTGCAACATTTACCTCAACCTCGTAATGTTGTGCTTATTTTAAAGTGGCATATCCACATTTCTCCTTTGTGCTTCGCATATCACCGATTCCCACTTCACGTGGGATCTGCCAATTGTTTCACCAATTCTTGAACCGCCAATGCGGATGACAAAAGAAGGCTATCGTCTCATACCGCGTAATGAGTAGAATGAGAATGATGCCTTCAATGAATCGCGGAACTCCCTTCCAAGTCGTTCACTTCTGTTGCATTCTGAAGAGGAAGCGAGAACAAATATTCACACAGGTACAAACAATTTAGGTCCGAGGGCCGTATTGATACAATGGCAAAACCAACAAAAAAAGTCAGAGGGTACACCAGAACACTCATTTTAAAACTGAGATATTTTAATAAGCAGCAGCAAAAGAATGTCTTGCCATGACATTGGCTATCATCATGTTTCGGCCATATTTATGCCGTTGGCGTTTTGTAGCTGTAGGCAACCATTATTCGTCATGCCGGCTGGATCATCTCAAGAGCCCGTGTGGACGGCTTGCTACATCGAACGTGCAAATAAAGAAATATGATATCATGGTTTTTTGAAAACGCGGTCGCAAGTGCCTGATAATGACTGGTTCTCAAGTCCTCCGATTCAGCCCACTGCCTCTACTTCATCTGAGGACGGAAAGAATTTTGCATTCTTGAGAGATGTGGCAACATCGAAGATTACATGTCTTGAGCAATTTAACGCAAAGCTATTCCTACTGATCAAGTACCTATACAGGAGCAGTTCGCGATGTTCGACGAGCTCACGCCCGTGGCGTCTCAGAGTTCATCCTTCGTAACAAAGTCCCGTGCAAAATGGACTTTAAAAACAACACAGGGATATTCCTGCTCATCGACCCTTCACTTCTACGACCAGAAATTTTTAATGGGTTTCGACGACAATTCCTCACCAGGGGGCTACGTAGCAAGCAGGACGTCAGCCCACATCTGGACTAAATAATGCTGGCCTAGGCTCCTCAGCTCTGCCAGAATTGTATAAACAACCATTCAAATCAGCACATTTTCTGAAGCCGATAAAACCACCAAAGCTTCTGCTCGCAAGTGGTAATGAACTTACTGATTCCATAGTGGTGGCTGACCAAATTGATAGGCCAAAACGGCGTCTTTCGTGAGAGGAACGAACATCGTACTGCGACATGGAGCTTGCACAGTGCTTAATGGCGGACTGAGAAGCTGTATTAACGATTGATCTGGCAAAGTCTATACTGAAATTGTAGCACAACCATCATAGAAAAAAGACTGCATATCATCGACAAGTTAAGGTAATTACTCAATAGCAAACAGAATGTTGGCTGGAATGTTGCCGATGTACTCGGACTAGAGAACTGGACATGGGATAAAATATTATCTTATAGAACGTTCTCCAATAACACCGCGAGACAACTCAAATAACGCAATTCTAGTTTGTTTGTTTTTTCGTTGCACGGTCACCACACCTTTAAATTCAATGTTTCCTATTGATTAAGCATCCGAGGATGACTATGATATCAGCCACAAAGAGCAGAAGAAGCAAGACGTGCAGCTAGCGTGATATCGTAGTAACCAAGAACAGAAAGCCGACACCGATTGAAACAATGTGCGACGAAGAGACGTCCAGTGTGCTCGGGGGGACAGAGCATGGATGTGAATTATCGTATGAATTCATGGCCTACCGGAAAAGCTGTTTCACCGCTATTTTGCTTCATACATAGTGCTCCACCACCTTGGTTTGTGGAAGCACGTAGGTACTATAGATAGACAGGATATCTCATCACGACTGCTGATTGACACAGAAATTTCCCATGTCGTCAGGTTGAAACCTTATTACAACAGGTACTGAACCTTCGATAACAAAACTTGACTCAACGATAACTGCATTCACGAGGAGGTGTTATAATTGACCGCCTAGCAGCCAGTTTTCTGCAATCATCGCAGTGACGAATTAGGGAAATGGGGCGGAGCAATGACGCAAGTTGATTTCAATCTAAGTGCACTGGTCAGTCAATCTTTGCATCCTCTGAACTCTTTGAGGCATACGAGCGAATGAACCAAACATCACTTCGTTAACTGGTTCCCCGCACATCAAGCTCAGATAGGTGTTCCCACCACCTCAATGAGTCGGCTCACGGGGCTTTGCAACTTCTCTACCGCTTTCTCTCGGACAGCTTGGAGACAACTCTACCAAAAATAAAGCCAATTGGTCGACCTACAGTGAGACAACAAGATACTTTTATCTCACACACTGAAGTTATTCTCTTCCACCTACGAGTTTCAACAGAGCTCCGGACCTAACACTTCACTTTATGCGAATGAACAAATATCCTATGTTGTGTCTTTTACCAGCGATCTATCCAGATGCATTTCTCCGCCGTTCTTGTCACTCGTATGAGAAAATACAGAATATAAAACACAAGATATGGAGATGTGCTCGGTCACACTCTACAGTCAGTAGCAACTTGGCCAGGCCGGATACCAATTTTCGTAGCCCCTTTTGGCCGACCAACTATAGACTGTCCAGATGGCCCGTCGATGACCGAGAGGTTGGGCCTTCTGATCCCTACGTGAAAAAAGCCCGCTGCGTGTGGCGACCTTAATAAAGGTGTCCACATCATACCATCTCACCTCGTACTATACCAATTTATACCTGCAAACCAAGGCAAATGTGTGGCGGAGAGCACGGGCATGCGTGACCCAAGGGTCATGGGTCAGGCGCAGTTGCGCATGACCCACGAGGAACAAAAGAAAAGAGAAGGTGCAGACTTAAAAAGAAAAGAGAACTGCTGTCTGGACTACGATGACGCTTCTTTTCTGTTTTTTTAGGGGCGAAGCTCCATAATCCGTGGGTCGTGCGTCCGGCACTCATGTAGTAGCAGAAGTAGTAGTAGTTGTCGTCGTAGTAGTAGGCAGACACTTCTCGTTTAGTTCTTCAAACGTCCACTGGATGACGGTATTTGCATACGATGAATATAATAAGGAGATGTAAAATGGCTGTAGTAAGAGCGTTCACTAGATGGACGGATGGATGGACAGACAGACAGATTCACGGACAGACGGATGGACAGACGCACGGTCGGATGGACAGATGCGCTGACGGACGGACGCACGGAAAGATGCATGGACGTAGAATAGATGCACGGATAGACACGGGAACGAACACATGTACGGATGCACGGATAGGCTCACGGACGCACGAATGGACGCGCAGACAGCCACACGAATGAACGGTCGGACGCACGTATGGGCGAACGGACGCACAGACGATGGAAGGACACATGGCTGGTCACACGGACGGATGCATGGATGGACGGAAGCAAGAAAGAACGGGCGACGAAAACGCGGATGGACTGATGAACGCTTCGCCTCACTCATCATCATTCCCTCTGTGAATATGCCATGATTTTTTTTTTACGTCTAGGCAAAAGTTCACTCGAACTACTTTGGTTCATCACAAGAGTGTATTTGGACGTGTGTGTTACTGTGTCTTTATGGGAATTAATCAGAATCGTGCTTTACGTTACCTTCGATAGATTGAGAGAATGAAAATTTGTTGATTTGTTATGGAAGTAGGGTGCCAGTCAGACGGTACCTGATGACGCCATCTTCCGCTACCGCTAAGGCTGGGAAATTGTATCCAAGTTAGTTGCATTTAGCACCTTTTGCTTCACCAAAAGTGAAGCAGGAAGTATTCTATTCTCTCCAAGGAAGCTATCAAGATATCCACTGGTGGTCAAAATTTCCGAGGCCCTCCACTACGGCGTCTCTCATAATGATGTGGTGGTTTTAGGACGGTAAACCCCACATATCAATCAATCAAGTTATCAAAATATTACGAAGAAAGACCAAGAAAAACAACATGTCTTCTTCTCAGTAATTTTTTTGTTGTTTTTCGTGCATCACGTTATCAACACTTTGTGCATTGGGGACTCGGCATCGCACCAATGTTTTCCATGTGTTCTTTTTCCGAATAATTTAGTGACTTATTTGATCAGTCTTACGTGCGCACTCTCGAGGTAAGCGATGTAGCAGTAATAGCGTAAATACCCACTATACTGACGCACCTCTTAGCCACTTCGGTGACGTTTACCCTGGATGGCTTTGACAGGCTCTCCGTCTTGTTTGCCAGGGTGACTGTGTTTCCGAACAGACAGTAGCGAGGCATTGTCATCCCTACAACGCCGGCCGTCACGTAACCAGTGTGTACACCGATCCGCATCTACGTCGAGAAAAAGAAAAGACAAGTTACAAAAACGTGACTCCAGCATTGAAGAACAATAGCTCACTCTCAAAGCCACGATGCCTGTGAAAAAAAATGTTATGGAAGTGACGATATCGCGAAACTATAACATTGAAGTCAGCTTCACTCCAAGAAACGCTATTGACCGTGACAGTTTGAAGAAACAAAAAAAAGTCTGGGCTGGACCCTAGTGCTTTATTTGGTGTGTGGTAGTGGCACTCACGCATCGGCCTTCGTTAGCCCGGGCGTACTCTTAGCGTTAACGTTTTCTTTCGCGTTCTCCCCAAGTGTATCTCGGAGCCCCCGAACCAAGAAAAACGACTTTGAAGTCTGCACCGCAGGGTGCCGCTGGATACTTGGTGGCCAAAAGAGGACCTTGTCATCTTCCAATGAGCTCATTGAATGTAATTTCACTGAGTTAACTTTAAACCTAATTGATCATTTGCTAAAGAAAAGTTTCGATGCCATGTGTACCCAGAATAACTAGAACCATCTATTCCAAACCAGCTTCTCTTTCTAGGCAAACTGAAAACTTTTTCGGCACTGCATGGGTGGACTTTGCACAGAATTTGCACAGTGCACCATAGCAGTGCACATTGTTAGTTTATGAAAATTTTGTAATGAGACTGCGCTGATCACTAGAAGATCACAAAAACCTAATGGTTAAATTTAACTGGCTACACGAATGACTTTGTGACAGATATATTCGAAAAAGAGACAACGTTTACCAACTAAACGACTGAGTTTGAACTAAACTTTCTGCGCTGTATAGAAGTACACGCGTAGCGTCTCTGCTGTGTGTAACCGACTGAAATGATTCGAGGCAAGCCTAGCTAGGGAGCGCCAAAACATAGCATCGGGAAATCGCTTTGGCTCAGAGATGGTCGGTGTTGTTTTTGCAAACCGTTCCATAAAATTTGAGGGCAATCTGCTGCCACCCGGTTTTTACGACCAGTAGGCGCCAGAAGAAAAAAAAATGTGTTGTAGGCTGCGGTTGTAAAAACGTTCTGCAATCCGCTGTCGTGCTGAAGCGCATTCGAGCAGCTCGCACAGCAGAGTGTAGCACGCTCGCCAGATGGGATCTCGTTCATGGCACGGCGCCCAAAAATAGCGTCGTAGACGAATAAATATTTGTGTACTCCAAAACATCTGATCGTTTCATTTTTTACTACAAGCCGCTCCCGCTTGCAACGCCGGCTTTATATATTTATTTTCTTTCTTTACTTTAATATCATTTGTGCCGGATTTGTGGAAGAGCATGGTACGAAAATGGTGATATTAAATGACGCCAAATTTACCGATTGTAAAAAAAAAAGGATTGAAATGAAGGAAACGTTTTGCAGCTTCAATTTCAGCAATGTCTCAGGACCAAACATCCTTATCACGTTCAATCTGATAAGCATATCTCTATCTGACAAAAAACAATGGCAAGTCTGTGGTGGCCTAAAATTTCGATATCTGCAGAAATCTGTGTCAACGTGCGTTTCTTCCTGAAATTTACACCGACAACAAACCAATGCAGTATAATTTTTGTTTAGGTCACACTTCTGCTAGAATGTTCTTCAACGACTGACTGCCTACAAGTGCGTTCGTTATGAACACGGAAAGGTTTGTTTTTTTATATCACATGCTTTATTCATGGAGGTGTGCCAGTTAGCTTTCAGTAGCGTCGGAAAAAACAAAGGCATGGTTGGAAACAAACCTACGAGGTGCTTCTTTTTATTAATCCCGATTTGATTTGCAGTATTGTTATGAACTGTAGTGTCGCGGATTATTAGGAAATATCGTCAATACCATAAACTACTTGCACTCTAAACACGTGTATAGGCGGTGCTACAACTGTCACATGCAGATAGATAGTTGAAGTACTTCAATGTACGAGTTTGTGTTTGTCTGCGTTGTTCCCGAGTCACGTGGTGCATCCGTTGGGTCGCCTAGTGTGGCCGACGTTACATGAATGTTGCCAGCTATCCCGTGTCTCAACCCTTACACCATTCAATCTTGCAATGCTTGTTTTATAGGCCGACTGAATGGAGACTTCAGTGCTAGCATGAGTAACACAATTTTCGAGTGACTTCTTGTTGTAGTCGAGTGCTATTTCACTTCAGTCCATTCAAAGTTAAGGTGCACTAGTGCGGGAGCAAAAGCGTCTCAATCCTTTGACTTGAGCTCCAAAGGCAAAAGTCCCACGTTAACACTCCCTTCATGTGTATATCGTCGTGAACTTATACATGCATAACTTATACCTGCATGAGCAACATACCTGTATGGAATCTCCGTTGACCGGATTGCGGACACTCTTTGTGGCTGTTATCATGTCCAGACCCATGGCGATTAGCCGGTCTGCGTGGTCTTCCACAAAGTCCGGCACACCTGCTACGACCACGTATGCGTCCCCGATGGTCTCCACCTGCGTTACACAAAGACGCGGTTTAAGGAACTTCGCATGTATGAAAGCATAGTCAGGGTGCCCCAGCTAACGATAGCCAAAGTTTAAAATTATGGTGGCGCACTCTATAACGACGTGACCAGAGAATGACAAAAGGTTGAGTGAAAGGGAGGAAGGTTATCCAGAAGAAACGTATCCGTTTTGTTATCCCGCAATAGGTAAGAGATCAGGGTGACAGAAAGCTAAGGAAGGAAACAAGTGAAAGGTTTAAAACGTACAAAAAGAAAACGCACACACCCTAGCATGTACACGCCATAGTGGTTCGGTGAGGTGGTGGGGTTTGACTACAAAAACATTAGCAGCACCTATTTCGCTTCCCGGTTGGAAGCTCTAAAATTCCTACAGTACAGAATTGGTTGCTCGGAAAGGGGATGTTTAACGAAGTGTGCTAACACTGTTGAGAGGTGTTGTCTCAGGGCGCCCTAGTGAGGAGAATGACAAAAGACATCTTCAATGTCTTTCTCGCTGCCACAGCGATCACATACAGCGCTGGGTATCATTTTGATTCGGCAAGCAAAGCTGTTCGTAAATGACAGACTGAGCCATGGGCAGCAGAAATGGTTGTCTTGGATCATGCAGGACAGCCCGAATGAAATTTAAAGCAGAATTTACATAGTGAAAAAGGGTATGCATACAACTGGTTGTATTTCAAATTTAATGTGCTACATCATACATGAACAACTGAGTGATGCTGCATCAGCTCTTGATAGTGTAGTGGTTTCATGCACACTGCTTCATTAAACATTACTTTCAGAATTATTGGCTTGTTCGTTGCCATCGATGCCACAGTGGCCTGGAAGCCACTGGCAAGTTATGCCATGCACTTGTTCAATTCATTCCTAATATGTTTGTCTTATTTCCTGTACTAGTTGGTCTTCTGCACTGCAACATAATGGTGATGACAAAGTTTGTGCCTGTAAACGAGTCTCTAAACAAGCTGCATGTTCGCGGCAACCCTAAACGAATCCTTGGTAGCACACTTCGGTATGGCACTAGCTATACTGCAGTTGACGCAGTCAGATGAGGGGTTCTATAATTACAGGTTTCGGCTTTTGCTCGAAACATTACAGCTCATGCAGATACCGCGACAGTTTTGAGGCATTCGGCTATAGTTTAACACTATCGTAGCCTTTGTCGTGTATCTTCAGTAGGGACAGCTGCTACAAAGCTCTCGAGAAGAACTCCACCTTTTGCGTATCCATGGCACTGCCTGGCAAAGTTTACGTTGAATCAGAAAACAAGGAGGTATCAGGGTTTTTTTCAGTAGGTATGTAGTCTGTTAGAAACAGTCTCAAGAAGCAGACATTATTTTAAGGGAATATTGCACCAGTTTTCTTTAAATGAGGCCAGATAGTGGTCTGCGGCTTGAGCGAGGTGTGTAATGAGTGCCATAACTACCCCTAACGTTATGTGAAAAGTGGCAAAATCAAGTTCTGCAATGGCAATAGCCTCCACTGTTGACATGTCCCATGACATTCCTCGCACTCTATGTTAGCTGGCCTTAGGCATCTTTTGTTTTATGTATGTTGCTTCTAAAGGTGTTCTTCAGTATTAATGAATTGTACCACAGGCACCCTAAAAGTGGGATCTGCTAGAACTGCAACCAATCAAGCGCTGATTGTATCCCACAATTCCACTTCAGAGGCAATTAAGCAAATGCGAAATGGCTGACAGCCACTTCTCAAGTCCGGCCGCACGGGTATTCTACCAAAGATCTCTATCGGTGAGCACTGGATGACGCCCCAGAATATGTGCGTACAAAAGTAACGAGCATTTAGCAAATTAACAGGCATGGCGATACCCGTCAATAAATTGCACGTAAATGTGACGGACGCAGATTTCTCGGGTGAAATCTGGATGCATTTTTCGCTAAGGTACACCGCTATTGGAATCGCAGCCTTTTGGAGCTATACATGTATTTGAGCCTGTGCTTTTTCTGACGTTCAAAACACAGTTGTGACCACTATATGTTGATATATGAAATAAGTCGCTATACGTTTCACGTGGCCGATTAACACAAGGTTCAATAACGTGGGGCTTAAGCTTCTCTCTTGAGGAACACTCTGCTGTGTGTGGTGCCCAGAAGTTTGTCCTTGGTCAGTTTGCACAAAGAATGTTTTCATCTGCAGATAGCAGCAGATGTAACCGTACACTACTCCATCAAGAGCAACTGATTCGAGGGCCTTAAGTATGGCCTCGTGAGAAATGTTATCGTATGCGTATTTTACATCGACCACTATTGTGAAGAATAACTCTGTGTTCATTTTTTAGTGTTGGACATAAGTTACCAGATAAATGACATTGTCAATGAAGCCTTAAATAGTCACAGCTTCGTCGCAAAGACGAAACAATGAATGCGATAGCAACCATTTGGAAGGTCAAGCGCAGAACGTAAAGCAGATTGGAACGTGCCCTGCGTTTCTCGCGCACAAATTGTGCACGAAACATGCTCACACGTAAGGGTACACGCTAATAAGCGTCTTATTTGTTACTTCGATGAGTCTGAAAAGCGCGCACTTTTCGCGAACGGAGACTGTAATGATTGAAGTTACCTTTGTGCACCCGGTAACTACAGCAGAATTGTTCCACGTATAGCCCGAGGCCAGCCAAGGCGTATGATCTTCCCCTCCTTGCCACCGCGAGATAAGGGCGCGTGAGGGAGCGCCGCTCCCCTTCTCTAACCCGGGCTAAGTACGTGTAGGAGATCAAAACGGGCGCCGCTGCGCGATGTGGCAACGTGCGCTCATTGCGCCATCTTTTTGGTAATGCCGAAAACACAGCAGCGGTAAGTGGTAGATATAAATAGCTTGCCGTATGAACGTTGAACAACGTTCCCCCGGGTGTCTCAGTGGTTAACGTCAGGCTTTCACGATGCAGAGGTCCCACGTTCGGTTCCGCGCACTGTAGTGCTTTTTCTGAATGTTTTCTTTCTTGTCATATTATATATATATTATAATATATAGATATTATATATTATATATATTATATATATATATATATATAT